TGGACATAGATATTTTATGGGGAACATCTGATCTATTAAGTGGTGATTATTTTACACTCTCAATTGTTCATCTTTGAAAGAAAAACTTTATGACGTGCTAAGGTCACTGAATCATTTTGCCTTATTTCAAAGAACTTCAGAAATTCCCAGTTAGCAATTCAATAAAATAAATGTATTACATTTTTTAAGCTTTGTGTTTCCTACTATTGCTTGGTGAAAATTGAGTCGTGTGTAGAACTATTGAATAAAATCAGGATTTTGACCATTCATTTGAAATCCAATTGTTAAAAGCCTTAAATAGTAAAATGGCTCCTTCTGAGTTGAAAATTTCATCAAATAGTCCTGCTCTCATCTTTACAGAACCCAGGTAATGTGAACAGGTAGCGTTATAGGGGTGCTCGCTTGTCCACCAGAAATTCTTTTTGTTATTATGTTAATTGTACTTGAAATACAGGAGCTTCTGTTAGATTGGTCAAGTAAGGAACATAGATTTTTATTGCAGTCCTCTCAATAGTCACCACAGCAACTGAAATTATTCCTTTCAGACATTGAAATCCTCTAAACTTCAATTTCCTTTAGATTTATCCATTAGAAACAAAGGCTAAATTTATCATCCACCATATTAACAGCCTATATTGTCCCAGGAATAATGGTTAACAGTTAATCTCATCTCTGCAACATTTGTAATGGTTAGTTATTATACATTTGAATTTCATCTTCAAAAAATAATATAAAACTGAGTATCATCTTATTCTTTTCTCCGTTAGACTGATAAAACAACTAAGCATCCAGAGGCCATTTAGTTTGTCTAAGACGTTACAGCTAGAAATAAGAAAGACAGTGTTCCAGGCTGCTTCTCACCACTGCAGCATGAGCATGTGTTCACAAAAGTGAGGATTATTTCCACCATTAGTCCAAAGTCATCAATGAAATTCCAGAAGCAGAGTCTGTATATAAATGTACACACATGTAAAATATGTAATTGTATATTCATTGGCTAAATAAAAGAAATGATATGAAAGAGACTGCAGGTCCTGGGAAGAAAAACAAATATAATAGCACCTGGCTTGCGGTGAGGGGCTTACATTAAACAGAGGCCAATAGAGAGGTCTGACAGCAAAGGTGTGCTCGGGGTTAAGTGCCAGAGGAAACAAAGGGAGGAGGAC